GGCCGTCCGCGTCATATTTGATCTGGGCTTGTTCTCTTTAGAGACTGAAACCCAACAGTATGTGCTGTTGGGAACATGTTGGATCAAAACTGCTTCCGCGATGCGGGCTTGCTCCTGCCGCTTCAGTACCGCCAGTGTGCGGGCGTGTGTGAGTCTGGCTCTCGGGGAGAAGCTGGTACTTAAATTGTTCCACTGCGTCAAATTGAGCGCTTCTGGGTTGCCGCTATGGAACAGCCATGCGGTGATGATATTGCAAACCCTGTCTGCAATGGCAGCAGCAGCGAGAAGCAAGCTCAAGCCTTGTGAAAAACAGCTGCGGCGAGCTTCGACGGTGCAGCAGGGGCCCGCAACCGAAATTCACTTCTTTGTCTCTTCGTGTGAGCTCCGTGTCACCAGCCCTGCCCATGCTAGAGCTTTCGTCCCAGCCCGTGGCTCTCAAGTTTCACGCCGACCTGCACCTATGCAACCTCGCCTGGCTTGTCCGAGTTGTGAGAGCGTAAACGGTGCGACGTCATTTCCTTACGTTGTATCTTTTAGTGGCGATGACGGTGCATCAAATTCAACCTTGCATATTGCACATCGCAGAAGCAACAACATGGAAGCACAGCAGATTGACCGAGAGCAGCAGACATGCGAAAGTTTGAGCAGGGCAGTCTACAGTACCGCTTACAGTGTACGTGCGACACGTTCCCTTTCTCTCTCTCTCTCTCTCTCTCGCTTTGTCTCTATATGCATACTTAGAGCGCCCACACACACACACCAACTATGGTGTACTAGGCAAATCCCAGCCACAAAATGAAGGCTTCTGCAAGGCCCGAAAGCCGAGGGTCATCCTCCAAGACTGGAAGTAGGGCAGAGAGCAAGAGCTCACCGAAGGTACCTGGGTGACCACTCGCGTTGCGGGCCTTTTTGGGGGGACAGGGGGGCTTTGGAGTTGCTAGGTTTTCCTACAAACGAGGGCAAGGGACTGGCACTGTCAAACGACGCATGGATGTGTTCATGTCTGTTCATTCCCTGAGTGCTCCGAACTTCTGGCGGTCTTTGACAACGTCCTCAGCGTGAGCCTATGGTTGCGGTTCATGACGGCCTGGTACGCGGCAGCTTGGCCGAATCGGCTCGTGTTTCCATAGCTCGTGGATCATTGCTGATGCCGGTGCATGGGATGAGGTTTGCCTGTGCCTCCGTTTCTATCGTGGCTTCACTGGGCAGCCGCGCACTTCCGTGATATTGCAGTCAGCGCTTTGCCTGCCAGGGATGCGTTTGCTTCTTGGGTTTGGAAGAGTGGGGTGCAATTGTGTGCATGAGCCTGCGCCCAGTCGCCTGACAGGTACTGTACATGTCGAACCTGTTCCTGCATTACTTAGCACCTTGGCGTGGCTCAAGGTGCTTCCAGCACTGTTCGTGAGTGTGACTGTGACTGTCGGTCGTTGCGCAGGGTTGAGCACGACAGATACAACCAGCAGTCTCCTGCTTGTCGTGCGTTATCTCCAAACAGACTCCAAGGCACTGCAGACACCTTGGCATGTTGTCAGGTTCGCACGCATTTGTAAAAGCGCGGTGCGATGCCGGCGACGAGTGTATAACTATACGATGTAGCGTAAGGTGTGCGGTAAAGGTCGCCCAGAGACTTACTTACCAGTACCAGTGAGCTGGTAGGACGGGAGACATGTCGGCACTCTGTTGGGTGCTTTCACTGTTGATGCGAGCGACGCTTTCAGCATCATCCTGAAATTCGGGCATCGTCGGGTGACTCCATGCGGTGTGCCGCATCAGTCCCTCAAGAGCTGGGACGAGAAAGAAACACGTGTTCAATCGGCAGCACAGGTTTTTAATTTAGCGACAGCTTCCTAGGATGCAGGAAACGGAGCAGCCATGTTCATTGTCCCTTCGAAGAACAACACGTCGCTTTGTGCTAAGGTTGTATTTCTGGTGGTGTGCGGCAATTTCGCACTGAGTGGATACATCCTCTTTGGGGAGCAAGTGCCAGCTTGGTCCACTTTTGGCGGCTCTGTCATAACTCTGACTCAAGTAATGCTGGGGGAGTTTGACTATGACGCCATGCGAAATGTAGCCCCTGTTCTCGCAATGATTTGGTGGTGGAGCTTCTTCCTGTCCACGACTGTGGTTCTTTCGAGGGTGTTAACTGCAGCTGTGCTGCAGCTTTTCTTGGAAGTTCGCCAGGCTCTGGGAGAGCCGGGGATCGGGCTGCCACGACAGATCCTGGCTGTTGCTAAGAACTTGTGGTATCAGAGATCTTATGAAGGGTCCATGAAGAGTGTTCCTGACGATGACCTCTTGAATATGCTGGCACAAGACCTAGATCCGGCTCATGTGAAGAAGTTGATGCAAATGAAGACAGACCGACGGCTGTGCACACGAGAAGATCTGGCAAAGGCCGAGAAGGACATCAAAGTCGATGTGGAGTTTTTGACAAAACGAGGCATGGACCCCCTCGGGGCCGAGCGCCTCATCGAGAGAACGGCCAACTGGGCTCTCAACATTTCGACAACAACCTCGGCTACCAACCGCCTGATGCTCCTCGTTGCTAAGCAGATGGAGTACATCACCACCGAGGCAGATCGAATCCAGCGCAAGATCCGGACGAGGATTGACCGGGCAGCGCAGTCGGCAGACCGGGTGGATGTTAAGCACGCCAAGTGTGCGGCCCTTGCGAAGCGACTCCGACGTGCACAGCAGATACCTGCAGGCTGGACAGCACACAGAGACGAAAACGGCCGCAGGTACCTCCGCCACGAGGAGAGCGGGCTGACTTCTTGGACATTGCCAAGAGCCCTGATTTGATTTCTTCCTGCTGAAGGCAGTCCTAAGGAATTGATAGGGCCGAGCGGTTTCACCTGGTGCCCGACGAGATCGACAACCTTAGCTTGGAAAGGTACAAGACAATTTGAACAGTGAGATCGTCGGATCATCACGTAGTTTGCTCTTGTCCATGTTTCCAATATTTGGAACTGCGGCATACGCATGAGCTCAGCGTGTCCAGCACATCTTGCGGAGAGTAAGGCATTTTTACAAGGCATTAGAACATGAAAGCCGTGCTGCTGCGCTCATGAATTCACCTGGGCAACCCTCAGTGTGCTTGCGCTGGGGTATGACAGCTTGAAGAAAACAGAGCAGCTGCACCGTTCTGTCAACTACTCGAAGCGTGTGCATGTCAGCGTTCCCGTAGCCTCCGGACAGACATGCCAACCGTCAATTACACTAGAGCTGATGGTGGTTGCGAATTTCGCACAGCAGAGTGCCTTGAAAATCGGGAATTGCGCTCAAGTAAGCAATGATTCGTTGCTAGGCTGCTGCTTGCACGTGGCTCATTTTTCGCTTGAGGCTCGCATGCAGTTATGAAGCATATTGCCATGTTCGTCTGCCTAGCAGAATCGAGAGTGCCGGAAGAAGTGTTGCCACGCATGGTTGGCTCGATGAGGCGGAAGTACAAGAAAGAGCCGACCCCGAGCTTCGACGCAGTCTCGAGGCTTCGACAGCGAGCGACGGGGGAACCAATTGAAACTCACTTCACTAAAATGTGTGGGCTCGGCTAGGCTTGTCAGAGGAATCAAAGCCAGGACGACGGTACCACATGCGACATGGAATGCGGACTCCTGGGGCACAGTTTAAGCCCATCGAGAGATGGGCAAGAACTATCACACGCACGCGCGCACAGACAGACACAGCACACTGGCGACATATTGGCCACTATGGCCTCGACATACGGCCACAAGTTGGATTTGTACGAAAACGGGCAGCTCTGCCATTCTCACAAGTGATCAAACTTGGAGTTTTTTACAACTATGGACAGGACGAGGTCTGGAAACACCGGAAGGCCTCAAGACAAGTTTGGGTGTAGACGGGAATGTAGCAGGAAGGCCGTCGCCTCGAAGATGTCAGACCGGCTTCTGAGAACGCACGCAAGCTGTAGCCGGAGATTATTGCAATTAAAAAGTAGCAGCTGCCAGCAGACAGGAGCTCCGCTCACAGACACTGTCTGATGATGCAAGCTGTGCTTGCGGAGGAAGCACCGACAGACAGGGTCTGGCTTGGACAATGTGAAACAGATACACGAGCAGTCCAAAATGCATGCTAGCTGGTCGACACCGGCTTGTTTGGCCGTTTCCTGAGCGTGCTAAACCAAGACAGCGAACGGGGCATCGAAGCATTTGCAGCTCAGAGGCGGCCAGGCAGGGAAAGGTATCTAGCTTCGCTCGAGTGCGAGGTCAGCTGCTCTGCCAGATCTCCCAGATCCAGGATGGGCATGGCAGCGTCACTTGTCGTTGCCGGTAAAGTGCTGTGGACGCTAGCGGCTGACAGCGATCTCGTCGCACCTAGGTGACTACTATGCCTGTGCCGTACATGCCTTCGATCCGGAGGAGCTATAAGCGACGACACGGCATGCATAAGCTTATGTTCGGTGGCCTTGTGTGGCGAGCCGTGTGGATCCTTTGCCGAGATCCGAAGGACAGACTAGGCAGTAGTACTCCCGCAGCTCGGCAACCTTGATAGAGTTCGATTCGTGTTCGCAAGTACTGCAAAGGTAGTGATGAAGCTCACCTGCATGCCCAAACCGCCAAATGCCTCAAGAGAGCTGTTTCATAAAGGCGACATGTGCTCGAGCAGATGGCCGCGTCACACGCAATTAAGAATGAAACCAAAAGGCCCAGCAAGCTGCAGAGAAGCTGGGTAAGCATGCCCAAAGGCCAACCACAGACAACCCTTTGCCGTGGCGGTGGCTCTTGGCAATCGGGCCAAGTGCTTCGACTTAGGGCATCGATGCAACAGAAAGATCACACGAGTCCTTGATGCACAGTGGGTGCAGTGCAGGAGAAGCCTGGAGTGCAGTGGCAACCCAGGCAGTCTCTTCTGTTTTCCTTGTCTTCTCTTGGTCGCGAAGGGTCGCCAGCCGCGGCGGCCGCGGCGAGCGTTTTGGCGTCCGGAAGAACACTGGCTAATTGCGCGCTGCATCGCGCGACAATCACTACAAGTAGGGCTGAAGAGCAAATAAACTCAGAAGCACCAGGAGACCCAGCTGGGCAGCTCGGCACTGCGATTCGAGGAAGGCGACCTTCTACAGGCCGCAGTGCAGCCGGCATCAAGTCATGACCCTGGACACCCTGTAATAGAGCTGGCAGAATCACCAAATTTGGGAGCCACTATCGCACTACTGGTATTCATTTTTTGCTGTGGCTGGCATGGGTTCTCGAGTTGCAGACCCTGCATCAGGTTGAGGCAAAGGTGGATGCAGCCTGGCTTTACGGACATGCTGCCAAGGAGCCCTTGTGTCATTCCTTGCAGGATGCATCTCGGTGGACAAAACGATCGCATTTGGAGAAACGGGACTTTGCGCTTGGTGGATGAGTCTGGATGAGAGTTGATCTCTGGATGACTTGTGAATCTCCGGCCTTGGTTGCATTTGCACTTGCTATGCCACTCGTCGTTTGGCTTGTGGTTCAGATTTGTTTGTGTTTGGAGTGGCTGAGAACTTGTTGTACCGTTCATCACTGCTCAGCGCATTCGATGCTAGCTCGACTAGGAAGGCAAACCACGAATCCTTGAAGGATCCTGAGCGTGCTGGCTTCTTTCCAGAAAATCGTGTACGCCGTTTAGGCGTGGTCGCTTGCTTTGGTTTTGGCTTCGCGATGTGTCCAAAGCAAATGTCCGCTGACAGGAAGCAGGGTGCCATCGCAACCGCCTCCACTGGCAAAGCAAGGTTTGCCAGAGCGTGGTTTCGAGGTGACCGGGCAGCGCAAGCAAGTCATCAGGCAAGGCAGCGAGGCCAGGAGCAGACCCCAAGAGGCTGGAAAGGGCGGCTGAACGGGAAAGGCCTGCAGGCGCTGTGCGCGCTCGAAATCAAATCTCTCGCAGCTGGAGTATGTCTATTTAGGCTGTTGTGTTTGCCCAGGTGAAGGCCAAGAGCAGCTACCAGCCTGAGGACGCCTTGGAGGACAGCAAGGGGATAGGAAAAGATTGAGAATGTGTAGCAGTGGCCTCTGCACTAGCTCCCGCGATTTCACGGGATCCAGAAGAGGAGGTCTAAGCAAATTGTAGGTAAATTGCTGCGATACAGTCTGCCGCTTTCGCTTATAGGCCAAGAAATTCTTGAGAGTCCTTGCTGGCGACTTCTTGGAAATCTTGCGCGGGTCGGAAGGCAGGGCAAGTTCATGCTGCAGGACTCTACTGCATGTCTTCTCTGCTTCTCCACCTTTAGTGTAAGTGTGGTAGATCGGACATTTCGGGCACTGCAGCCAAAGTCACGGGAGACCTGCACTCAGGCTGGTTGTATGGCCGCACGCTGAAGGTTGGAAACATGAGCATGTGGTTGGCTGCAAGAAGTATGAGATTGAAGTTGAGAGCCGCAGTCCACCAACGCCTGCTTGGCAAGTCCTCACCAGCACCAGCGAGCGCAAAGCTGCACTCAAATCAGGGTTCTCAACAACAACAGATAGCTGTTTGTGATTGCTTGACACGGGGGGCCGCTAAGCATTCGAGAGGTTCCCAAAGGGTTGGAGAACTGGCACCATCGACAACGCAAAAGTTTCTCCACTGCTGGCAACGGAAGGGGATCGGGATGTGGCGATTGAGGCTGCAATAAACTTATGTGAAGTGCCTTGCTTTTGCCTCTAATAATTTTAAAGTGATCGCATATGACCACCCAGATGCGGCACTATTCACTATTCAGACTATTCAAGCTTGGCATGGGATGTGCTGCTGTGCTCTTCCGTGGAGGCGCCAAGCGAGTTTGGCTTCTTCCCCGAGACATGCCTTGAGAGGGAGCTGCCCTCCGTCGGAATCTCAGCGACGTGCCTCGGAGATCTCAACTCGAGGATCTGCGAGGAGTTCACTCAGGACCAGGCTTCGGCCTGCGCTGGGCCGCGGCTGGCCGCCGCCGGGATGGCCTCCTGGACGCAAGGCCTTTCACCCTGCAAAAGAATAGCTGTAGCATAGTTGTACCAACATGTTGCATGTTGCATTAAGAGATAGCTTCAACACTCAAGTTAGGCGGCTCAGGCGGCCTCTGCCTCCGTGTTCCAATGAGTGTTACTTGCTCGAGTTGGCACAGGCGCACAAGCTTTCGAGCCAGACAGAGCTCAAGAGCCAAATGCGCCAAGCCGACCGCAAGGGAAGCCAGTCAGGACCGACTTTAGAAGAGACCATTCACCTGCTTAGCCATGCTTAGCCGCGCTTCCCTAAGCATGTCTCATACGGCGCAAGCTTGCCGAGCAGGAGCTTCTCGCGCCAGCTGACAAGTGCGATTGCATCCACACTTTGCACGGGTTCATTTCAGGTCAACAGATCATAGTTCTTGTTGTTGCTGGTGGCTCGTATGAAAGCATGCCGTGTCCCGACATTTCTGTACAGTCTACATTTTTGTGTGTCTGCAGAGTTTTTGCGACATAGAAGACGCTTGCAGCCGGCTGCGTGGCAAATGCTTAGCATGTCAGCTTATCCGATGTTCGGCAATCGGGGCTTGGTACAGTCAGAAGGCTCCCGAAGGTTGCTGCTGGGTCCCAATTGAAGATTGAACGATTTTTATCCTGCCCTGATGACTCAGGCAAATCATATAATGAAAACTGCTATCAGCTTTGAGCTTGGAAGGCTGAGTAGGATCATGGAACCCACAAGTCCAACCGCCAAGCGGGACTTCGTGGGGCTTCGACCGTCCCGAGAATTACAAAGAAGCGTGCTGCAACGCTGCACGCTTCGATGTCGCCGTCGTTGCGGAATTCTTATTTTACTCCTGACTTGCAAACAGCCAAGTGGACTTGATTTTGAGACTTATCACCGCAACATCAGGGCGGAACCGCCTCCGCCAGACTGGCAGCCAGACTGGCAGTAGGGATGCGCAGGGCACTAGCTTGGAGTGCTATGGCACAATCACAAGGCCAAGCCAGCATACAGATCCTTCTGTCACCTTCTATGCGCTTAACACGATACCGCCATGGGCCATGCAACCAGCTGTTGCCAGGCGCGTCCATGGAAGGGGTTTTACCGCAGGGAGGCCATGTTTTCAGGGCCGTCCCAGTGTTAGCTTGCAAGGCAGATGCTGATGCAGAGGCTCCTGGGCAAATCGAGGTGGCGACACCTCAGGACCGAGCTGGTGCAGTTTGTATGGAGCATGTCAGACCCAAAGTTTACATGCTCACAGGCAATGGGCACCGCATGGATTTTGCCAGGACAAGCTGCCATTTGATGCCGACATAGTGAACAATGATGAGACTTGGAGCGCAAGTGCCAGGGCACCGGGGTGTAATGCGTGCACTCGCACCGCAGAGAGCTCAGGAGGAGATCCCCACAAAGGCCACGCAGGCTGCAAAGGCCGCTGTAATCGGAAACTTCAATTCGCGAAATCGGCAGTTTTGGGAAGCATGTGCAGCGTGAGGAGCCGATCTCTTGAAGGATTACGGGGAGTGCAGGTCCTAGTAACCTAGTAGAAAGTGCAGCATTAGGCAATTGCTTTGGTCCGCCCCCATGACTCGGCACACCAGATCGTGAAGCAGTAACACAGGCCTTTGGGCCGTGGCGCGCTTGTTGGCATAATAGCTTGGCAGCATTGTGTGATTCCGCTGCATATTGCATCTTGGGGGTCTAGGCTGGCAGGCAGGCTCACTCATTTTCTTGCATAGCGACTCTGGTGTCCCTTCAGTCTTTTGCAGGAGGACTGGCCCCTACAAAGGCACTGCATTTGCCCATAGTATATGTTGTACTTTTTAGGCTTCGCTGCGTCCATGCCCGGCAGTCAGTGCGAGAGTCGAAGTCCGAGCCAAATCATCCCATACTCTTTGATCTTTGTAGAGTAGAGCACAAGAAAGCTCCCAGCGGCCGTTGCCGCGTGGAGCAGTCTTTGACTTTATTTCGCCAAGAATTCCGCGAGCTTAGGATGCCTATACTGCCTATACTGTCCCTCAAAGTCCCTGGGCATGGGCCTTTGCCATGGTGTGTTCTTCCGCTTAAGACTTGAGGGCCTAGCCTGGCCAGGCTGGCGAACACGAAGAACGCCTGGCACAGCAAGCTCTCGAGGCAGCAGTTGTCGTCTAAAGTGTGGTTTTGGGAGTGTTTTGGTGCAAAAGCACATCCTCGACGGGCACTTCGTGAAACCGTGACGCGATGATGTGCTGTGCTGGGGAGAACCCGGCCGCCCTGCCTTTTTCACCAAGTTGCGGTACTTCCGGGCTGCTAGCTGGAGAACCATGTCTAAACCTCTGCATGTTGTGCATGCTTGTAAAGCTTTGGTATTGAAAGCATTTGCTTGTACGTTTGTTGCCGTAGGATCCGTAGGGCCCTTGAATCATACCGTTAGCTTCGTGGTGGAACTGAAATCTATATTTGGAAAGCCCATCAGTTATCAATTGGTAGCAGAGCGGGCAGCCCTGGCAATCCGCGCAACCCAGGGCGAGCACTTTGGCACGGTCTGTGGGCCTGGGCACGCCCTGCATCGACCGTTCCTCTTAGATCCCCCCGACTATGTGTTGCTGGCCTCAAATTCCAGCGCACATCCACATCTGGGAAAACCCGAAACTACGCATGCCCCCTTCACCTAAGAAATCCTCGAGCGAACCCAAACGGAAACTATGGGCTGATTGGTCAAACTCGGGTAATGATCCCGAAACAGGCCTGCGGATCAACATGCGTAAGAGGCAAGCTTTTGAGGGGGTTGACCTTGGCTTCTGAGGGTGCTTCGGAGGTAACTTTAGAGCGAGTTGTTGTTGCTTCGGAGGCCCAGGGTTCGTGTTTTGGTCCAAGAAGCCATTCAGCAAAGGGACAGGACCGGATGGCTCACACCGTCGACGTCGGAATCGGGGACAGAAGCTCTAGAGTAACATTCCTAGTTTCATGGAATGAGTTGGAAGCGTGGGCTGGTAACAGCTACCCAAACCAAGCACGACTGGCATGTGAGGATGGGTTCTGGCAGGACTTCAGGACCTGGTTAAGGCACATCAGATCGAAGATCCCCAGGACGTCGGGTTGACAGGCACATGGAGGCATGAGACGGCCACCCCCTCGTAAAGGTACTTTGGGGGGGGGGGTTACTGTCAGTGGTACCTATGTCCGGGCCTATTTTAAGAGAGTGGGGGGTGGGGATAAAACTACGTACCGGAGATACAGGGACAGTGTGTCGTGGCATTGCGTTCGGTGTGGATCTGTAGCCGTCGGCTCTGACGAAGAAACTGGTTCACGGCATTTTGCTGATTTCGATTCCGCTTCGGCATAGTGTTCAGAAGGATCAAGACCGTATCAAGCCAGGAGTCAGTTGCAGTTCGCATACTTTGCACAGGCCTGAGCTTCGGCTATCATCGGTCCACTAGCCGTTTAGCTATCAGCATCTATCAGTGACAGCATTTATTAGCACGGCATGACCTGGCCTGTGGCCGTGATCGGCATCCGCAGAAGTGGTCCGAGCGCTGGACATGCGATCTGCCCCTCGTTCGCCGACTTAGATGGACCGCCTCCACCGGCAAGACTTCCCGGTCCTGGTCAGTAGCCGGCAAGTACGCCCTGAAGAACGGGCTGGAGGCTGGACGGTATGGGTGGTCGGATGTGGCCGGTGTTCTTCCTGTTCTTTCCCTTGTGCTATGACCCACCTTGATGGGACAAATTTTAGAAGAACGTACTCACTTGGCTGAAGCAGGCCGTTAGCCTCGCCAGGTAGCCGCAAGGCCCACTCCTTTACCTTAAGGCCTTTAGCCTAAGGCACCCTAGACCCGTCGTGCACTTACTAGCCGCTAGACGCTAGCCCTTCAACAATGATTGGCCTGCGTTTGGGGGTTGAACGTAGTCTGTGGCGCCTTGGCTCTGTACAGACGGGTTCCAGGGAGCAGCAAAGGAGGCAACAAAAAGTCCGAGGGTCTAGCAATCGCATGTTCCACGGAGCCATCGCGCCGTCATCGCATGTCCGAGGGTCACGACTAGTTCTATCCAAATAAAAAGAGTCTTCCCAATACATGTGAACCCCCACTTCAACACACCGTTGCAATACCGGTACCTATTTCCGACCCCCGTCTTTGCTCACCCACACCGCTCCCCCCCCGTACCTACCGGAACTGTACTCGATTTATTCAACCATGCACTCGGGGATTCATGTGTTTGAGTGTGTAGATGCCAGGGCCATAAAAAACCAAATGATGAATATGGTTTGCTCAGGTACGTGTTTTCAGCTTCTTAAGATCATACACGTAAGCAGCGGCCTGACATCCATCCAGCTGAGTTGGCGCTGGTGGGCAGACTTGCCAGCAGTCCTATGGTGCGACGGAGGGCTCCACAACCGAGGTGTTCTTGAAAAGTTTTGTGGGGTACATGGGATCCAGGTGACCCATGCATCGCTAGAGTCTAGAGACACCAGTGGCCACAGGGCATGTGGAGTTGGATGAGTGTTGTATGCCAAAGAAGGATGGAAGATAACACGGCAGATCCTGGATCCGTCCAGGACATTCCAGGACCAAGCTGATCCTGAGAGCCGCGCGGCTCTAACTCTAACACACCAGGCCAAAGCTGAAACTTGAGCCTTTCGTCCACCTGGACACAACTAAATCACTAGCAACGCCCACTTCCTAAAGATACTCCGTAGGAGACATGGGTTTTCAGGTGCGCTCTATGTGACAATGTACCCGTGCTGGTTTCTGCTCAGAACTTAAAGCCAGCGCAAGATGCAAAAGCACTTGCGCGGCAATCCTGCAAGGTGAGCCCTTCTTGCCAGCAGGGCTTTTTGAGGAGACGTCAGAGGTGTTGTTGGAGAGGACGTCGAAGAAGAGCAAGCGGAAGAGGAAGGAGAACAGCGTGAACAAATGGCGGAGGGCTATCCCAGAAGGTCCGGGCTCTCTTTCTGCGATCTTCGAGGAGGAAGATCAAAGGCCACCAGAGGAGCAGAGCCGCGTTCATGCTCTCCACCTCCAGCGCCGATAACTAGATCATGCTGGGGGAGCACCGCAGAGAGGACTCCCAGTAGGCAGCCCATCAGGGTCGACATGCCGGCGTCTATTCGGGGAGACGTTTCGGAGAGAGGCGCATCGAGGAGGAAGCCCATATGATTTATTATTCGCAAGAACTTCGCCAAGTTTTGGTCGAACCGCTCACTTGCCAAAGAACAAGTTGAGCCAGAACTTTACAACTTGCCTGACGCCTTCAGGTATTGGGATAAGCCTCCACTGTACAGAGGAGGATTGATGGTTCACATGGGGCAGCATGGGCACCCGGGTTTTTCCAGAGCTACTGAGAAGAAGCACGAAGACTTCCAAGCAGCGATGCCTGTTAAAAGACCGCGAACTCCTGGATGCGGGCCATGTGCCAGTGCCTTCGAAGTGGGTTGACGCTATCAAGAAGTATCATTAGAAGCCCAAACCAGACCATGATCCCAAATTCAAGTCTCGTTTGGTTCTCTGCGGAAATGTTCGAAGATGCAACGACGGTGCGGATCAGTGCACCAACCTCGGGTCTTGAAGCTCTTGCACTGGCAACAGCGTTTGCAGCATCTTGCCGCGTGTCGATCGAATGTTCGGACATACCCAACTCCTACTTCCAAGCCGACAGCATGTACAGCTTGTTCGCCGTTCATTCCAATAGAACAGGTTGAGTCTAAAATTTATTTGCTTTGCTTTGCATGATGTTCAAGCCTAGGTATTGACAGCATCTCTGCGAATGTTGGCTACAGTGGGGCCCGTGAGTCACACCAGGTAACTTCGAGAGAAGGAGAACCTTCCGATTTCAAAGCCATGGGTGCCGAAACCTCGTAGTCTCGTAACCGTGCTACCAACTTGGAGATGGGTTAGCGCAGGGCATGATAAGGCCTGTAAAATTGATGCATGTTACCGCCTGCGTGCCGTCACAAGCTTTCCTCCATCATGTTGAGTCGAAATTTGTGCAGCCTCCAGGAAGCTGAACGACATCTTCACGAGTTCAACCTTGCCCCCAAGCAGCAACAGAGGCTGCGAGGTTGTGTGAGATGTAAGACATTTGAGTCATTGTACATTCACCGAACAGCATGGTAACACGGTAACACTATGGGGTTTTTGCCTTGGAATTTAAAAAGGGTTGATTGATTGGCTGCCCCGGAGCGAGCCGGAAAATGGCCCCCCGCGTCCCATTATCTACACATTTACACGGGATATTCGCTGCGCGCGTCTCCCACTGTGGTGCGGTGCAATGCGGTGCATATAGCTTTCGCTGACGTCGTATACGTGGAGAATTCGTGTGAGTGGCGGGCACCGGGGCCAAAGATACCACATGGACCACGTTTAGTTTGCGAAAACCGTGAACTTTGGGGAAACGATCTCGGGTGTTACCCTGAATCTTGCAAACCAAGGGCAAGAAACCAGCGCACGAGGAACTGGGGAAATGCACTTTCGCACTCGTCCTCGAGCCCGCAGTATTTGGGGGAAAGCGGGTCCATCGTGCTCTCGAATGTTTCTGAATCCCGCGAGCACTTATGGGGAAAGACTTGGGGTGTGGCTCCGAATTTGCCAATAACAGGTCGCCAGTACTTGGGGGAAAACATTTCGGCAATCCTGCTGGTTTGCTCTGCTATTGGTCTGGTGGAGTCGTCGTGGTCGCAGTGCTCGTTGTGGGTGGTAACATGGCGTAAATTTTATGCTTTCCCAAGTAATTCAGGCCTTTTGGCCAGTGGTGGTGACTTCCTGCTCCTACTGGAATGCGTCGTGTGTGCTTTGTCCTGTTTGGTGATCTCTAATATAGTACTAATATAGTATATATGTGTGCGCGTGAGCTTATACATATATATATATATATCTCTCTCTCTCTCTCTCTGTATCTCTCTCTCTCTCTCTCTCTCTCTCTCTCTAAATATATATATATATATGTATACACCTTCCACCATACTCCACCTCGGAGCCTTTTCAAGAAGCCGTTGTGTTGCTCAGGACAGAGCTGATGCAGTTCTGGGGGCAGCCCTGGATCAGTTGAGCGAGGCGCACGTTGAACATCTCCGGACGGCATGTTCAGCGATGAGATGCGAGGCTTCAGCTGAAGGCTTGCGCAATGCCGACACCTTTCGCATTTGGCTTACCTCCTGTCTGGAAGCTTCAAGGGCTTCCAGAAGGAAACTTTAGTAATTCGTGAAGTCCAGAATCAGAGCAAGGTCGTGTCCAACGATGCCTTGGTCAATACGAAATGGCCAAGGCCTGATCCGTGTAGGCTTGCACAGCAAAGTCTAAGTGAAGCCGCTCAGTGCAATGTAAGCCTCCCGTTCCTCATGGGAAAACATTTAAAACATTCAGTGGACCAAATTTCCGCGCGCAAGAGGCGTGTTAGATTGCGGAGGGTTTCCAGGCCAGAATAGGCCACAAACAATTGTTATCAAACAACGAATTTGCTGCCCTGTGATGTGAGCAGCCCCCTGCTTCAACAGCACAGACGTTCCTGAAACAATGGCCATGTTTCAAGACGTGTTCGCACTCGAACGAAAGAAGGAATCGTGTAAGCATTTGCAACATGTGACAGGAACTCGGGGCCTACTCGGCTTCCCTCTCTGAACCAAAACAGCGTTGACAATTAATTTAACATATTCGGAGCTGAAAATCCGCAACTAAAATTGCCAGGAGGTTCATAGTATTCTTAATAGTATTAATAGCACTTACTACTACTGCTACTACTACTACTACTACTACTACTACTACTAGTAGCCACCCCCGCCCCCTACCAACCACCTGGCGCCTCAATCCACCACCATCATCGATCATCATCATCCATCATCATCCT